GATCAGAATTGACTAAATTGGGTTGTTTTTTTCCCCCAGTTGAAACCTAGAAAATTGCAAAATTTATTTCAATAAGGGAATCCTGCAAAACACTTTTAAAGTTCTGGATCTAGATTAATTTACACATGCATTTCCAGCAATAAATCTGACTACTTTTTTGTTTAATTAAAGTATTTAATGCTTATTGTTGAGCAGGTAAAGGAAAAATATGCTTGGCCCTCAAGTCCTTCTGACTTTATGATTTTGGCCCATGTGACAAAATGTTTGGACACCCCTGGTGTAAATAATAGACAGTTTAAAGAAACTCTCTCTCTCTTATTTTCTGCCCTGTATCTTCCCATCTATGGTTGCCATGGTTATAGTATTACTACGATGGGATGGAGATGAGCAGTCTTCCAGTCGAGCTCACCGTCATCTGGAACGGAGATTTCAGCATCGATAACCCCGCCCACAACAAAGGTGAGCATCCAAACAGTGCAATCATGCGCTCTGACATACAAGTTGGTGAATTCATTCGCTTGTGCATTTACTCCACGTAGACACTTGAAAACTCACTTAAACATACAGAGTAAAGCTGCTGCTTCCCCATTGTTGCTCTTGGAGCCTGTCTCCATGGCAACGGGGGGGGGGGGGCTGTGCCAAGGTGAAGCATTCGTACTCTGATGCTGCTGTGAAGAGTGGTTAACTTTAACACATCCTCGTTTTCTTTTTGTAGGCCCCCGTCTTCCCATCTGGCTGTCCAATGCATCATTGTTCCAACTCTTTAAGAGACATTTTCTTTCAACATCTCAGATATGATTTCTTTCCACAAAGTCCTTTATTTTCCTTTTGCCATATTTCACTGAGCCTTTGGCAATCAATCTTTCTCTGTCATCATTGGCTGTTGCCTTTGTTTTTGCGGGACTAGCATGGATTTCTTAATGGCAGCATTGACAAAGTATATGGTGGGCAGCACCGATCCAAAAATTAGCTCCGCAATTTCTAAAGCGCTTATGTATATATTTAGGTCCACAACTTCAAAAACACATACGCCACAGAAAAACTAGTGAAGGCTAATTTTAAAGCACAAATTCAATTGGACACTTACTAGCTGGCAATAATTCATGTACAATATATGCACAATACTGCCAACCAGCAGTGTATGAATCTTTTTACAGCTTAATCTTAAAAGCGCCAATTGCTGGGGATGTGATTTCCTGAAAAAGAACTTTGGCTGCTGGTGGAAAAATTAAAAAGTTGTTGAGGATTGTTAGTTCGGCAGCTTCTTTGTCTTTTTCTTTTGTTTGTTGTAGATTTTTCATAAATAAAATAAATTTAAAACTGTTTATTGGAAAACTGAAGCGATGCATTCTGGGTACATGACCGATTTGATTTGTAATGGGAAACGAAAGCACACAGTACAGGAAACTATCTTCACTTCAAAATAAGAGCATGGTTGGATTTTAAAGTTTTCCATGTAGTTGCTCCAGTTGACCACTAGATGTCAGTGTTCATCATTATAACATCTTTAAATCATTTCTGCATCCCTTCAGCTAACTCTGTTGGCGGATTGCTTCGACCAATTACGTTAAGCATTGAGCTCCAGCGTTTAAACTTTTTTTTTTTTTAAAGGAGCTCCGATTGTAAAGT